GGCTTAATGTGCTGGGGCATGAGGGTGCTTCAGTGAGGCACTAGCTGGCAGGCAGCCCCCGCACTGAAACACCCTTGTGCCCCAGCCACCCGGCCTAGCGTCTACACATGTGCTACTGCACATGAAAAAACTCCTGTTGTGGAGTCTGTTAGTTTTGTGTGCCCTAATAGGGGTGAACATGTAGATGCTGAGACACTTACTGTGCAGTGAATTAGTCAGCTGCTCAGTGCCCCTATTGATATTTCCTAAACCTGCATTTGCCTTTTGTGTAGCTCAGTTTTCAAGTTTGGATAATAGGCAGACAAGGTTCTTTGGGGGAATCTGATATCTTTTATTAGACCAACATAAATAGTTGGAAAAAAAAATTTGAGCAAGCTTTCGGGTTTAAAAACACTTTGTCAGGCTAAGGAAGTTTCTGCATTTGGTGTGTGCTCTTCCTGGATGGAAAGAAAAGTAAAGAAGCCAGAGGCTGGTCTGGTGTGCATACAAGACAGGCAGTCAGTGAAAATGTAAATTGAGGGAGTCAGTGGGTGAGAGACAGGCTGGGTGGGGGTGGGGGAAGGGGGATGAATAGTGGAGCGGTACCTGGGGAGTCAGATGTCACACAGGTTATAATGTGTCATAAATCCAATGTCTATATTTAGTCCATGATTTTTAGTATCCAGGAGGTTGATGAAGTGGAGTTCATAGGCTTGTCTCTGGGAAGTGTTTTGTACTTTGAGGATCAGGACTGAGAGATTGGAGAGAGAGTGGTTTTCTTGTGAGAAATGTGCCCCCACAGGTAATTGGGTATTCCATCATTGATAGATTACCGGTGTGCGTTCATTCTGGTGTGCAGTTGTTGTTTGGTCTCTCCTATGTATTTTCCATCAGGGCATTTGGTGCATTGGATGAGATATATTACATTTCTGGAGGTCTAGCTGTAATATCTGGGAATGCTGATGGCTCTGTGGGGTGTAGTGATTGTGGGGGTGGTGGAGATGTGTTGACAGGTTTTGCATTTCTTGTCATGGCACGGTCTGGATCCATTCGGTGTATTCTGGGCTTGAGGATGTTTACTTCTGGTGATGAGGTTGGTGAGGTTCGGTGCTTGTTTGAAAGCTAGGATGGGTGGTTTTGGGAAGATCTCTTTAAGAATAGGGTTTCTTTCTAGTATGGGTTGCAATTGTTTGAGAATTTTCCATACAGGTTCGAGGGAGT